TTTACGATTGATTTGTCTGTATAACTGTTATATTTACGATCAATTTGACTGTATAACTGTTATATTTACGATCAATTTGACTATATAATTGTTTTATTTACGATCAAATTAACTATATAACTGTTATATTTACGATTGATTTGTCTGTATAACTGTTATATTTACGATCAATTTGACTGTATAAATTTTTTATTTACGATCAATTTGACTGTATAACTTTTTTATTTACGATCAATTTGACTGTATAACTGTTACATTTACGATCAATTTGACTGTATAACTTTTTATTTACGATCAATTTGACTGTATAACTTTCTTATTTACGATCAAATTGACTGTATAACTGTTTTATTTACGAACAAATTGACTGTATAACTGTTATATTTTGATCAACTTGACCGTATAGCTGTTACATTTACGATCAAATTGACTGTATAACTTTTATTTGCGATCAACTTGACTGTATAACTGTTTTATTTACGATCAAATTGACTGTCTAACTGTTATATTTACGATTAAATTGACTGTATAATTGTTATATTTACGAAACTCACATCAGTAAAACGCATTTCTTCTGCATCATCAACACCATCGATTTCTGTCATTCCTTGGGATACAAAGTGATAGTCGTAGATATCATCAGAGAGAAGGAGAATTTCTATAATTAGAGAAATAAAAGATTACCAATAGGGGTGGCTTACTTATGACGTTTCAAGTGCAAGCAGTACAAGTAAAAACATATTTTAGAATTTAATGAGCTGTAAAAGAAAAGTCTTTAAAACGTATTACTATGCCAACCTTGAAACACACGGTACACAATTGTGGGGTGTAATGGGGTCAGATACATTCTAAGATATATCATCAGTGAAACTGCTATCAACAAATAGAGCAATGCTGTACAGGAACTATTATGTAAAACAATGAAGGTAAACGTCTAAGTAATAAAGTTTTTAGGCTTAAGAAAAGTGAATAAATCACGCTTTATTAAACAATGATAATTAGTTTAAACAGCAAAGAATGAAATTATAGCTTCTCTTCACTATGGAAATCGATAAAAAAATAATATCTCGCACACATCTAATCAGAAATTCGACTATGTTCTTTAAGATTAGATGTAAGAAAGAGCTGTTGGTTTTATGCACACTAACCTCTAGTATTAGGAATACCATTTGACATTAGCTGATAGAATATATGGTACGAACGCTCGGCAGATTGTTGAGAAATCACACGAGCCTTCTCGAGCAGATCTATTGATAAGAAAATCAAATCAATATCATCGTAAATACAGATATCTCTGATAATCTCTGACGATTATAATATGCAAATCAAAATATGCAATTTAATCTTGCTTCTTACTATATGAGCACATGTAACTTACTATTATTTATTCATGTTGTCTGCAATTTTATATACTAATTTATCATAGAATAATCTACGATTATTATATATAATTCTTTAGGCGTGTAATCTACGATTATTATATCCTAATTTAAAGAATTAAGATATAACAATCGTTGATTGCACGTTTAGATATTTGCGTGTAATCTACGATTATTATATCCTAATTTAAAGAATTAAGATATAACAATCGTTGATTGCACGTTTAGATATTTGCGTGTAATCTATGATTTTTGGCTTAATTCTTTGTATGTAATATGTGATTTTTATAGCTTAATTCTTTATGTGTGTGATTTTTATAGCCCAATTATTTATGGTGTAATCTACGATTAATATACGTATGTATAATCTATGTTGTTATAGCTTAAGTCTTTATGCGTGTAATCTATAATATGATAGCTTGAGTATTCTTGGATATAACTAATGATAGCTTAAGTATTCTTGGATATAACTAATGATAGCTTAAGTATTCTTGGATATAACTAATGATATTAAGTATTCTTGGATATAACTAATGATAGCTTAAGTATTCTTGGATATAACTAATGATATTAAGTATTCTTGGATATAACTAATGATAGCTTAAGTATTCTTGGATATAACTAATGATAGCTTAAGTATTCTTGGATATAACTAATGATAGCTTAAGTATTCTTGGATATAACTAATGATATTAAGTATTCTTGGATATAACTAATGATTTTAAGTATTCTTGGATAAAACTAATGATCTTAAGTATTCTTGGATATAACTAACGATCTTAAGTATTCTTGGATATAACTAATGATAGTTTAAGTATTCTTGGATATAACTAATGATAGCTTAAGTATTCTTGGATATAACTAATGATATTAAGTATTCTTGGATATAACTAATGATCTTAATTCTTCATATTCGCAACTCCTATCCTTGAAAGTAATTTATAAAACGTAATTTTTCATATTCATTACTTACATGTTTCAATATCTGCTCCAGCCAATTTGCCCATACCACCGAAGTGAATTCGGATGAACTTACCCTAAATCACGATAAAAAATATAACAAGTACAAACACTTAGGTAAAAAAGTGTTTAAATAAATTGTTATTCAAAAACAAGCGGGTTTAACTTGCTTATAATTCTTCTAGTAAAATAAAACGCAGTGTGTTAGTTATTTGCTTGTTTTTAAGCACAAAGCTACACAATGAGCTATCTTTGCTGTACCTAACACGAGTATCGAAAACCGGTTTTTAACATTATACGCCGTCAGGCTTATCGCTGAGCCACCGGTGGGGTCGGGACATGTGTTGGTTAATTCCCGTATTTGTTCAAATAAATACATCGTTTTCCACGTTTAAATTTTTCATCAAATAAATATAAAATAATGACGAACTTATTGTCTTTACATAGAAATTAATTTTATTCCTTTGCTGCTTCATCTAGTTTTTTAACCAACACGGAACATCACATCATCTCAGAAGATTCACATTTGATACAGAGTTTAGTTATAAACTATTGAATCAACAAATATTACATAAAGCAAGAGATGAGGCAACGTTTGGCATTCTGTTGAATTTAAGTAAAAGACAGCTTAAAAAGTTGACTTTATGTTCAATGAATTTTATATTTTACAGAACTGTTTATTTATTCGCTTTTTTATCTGTTACATTGTAAACAATTCGTATACTATTTCGCTTTAACGCAATGAGAACTAGCAAACAGAATCATAAAAAGTAATAACTAATACGTTAAATCACCTTAAAGCCAGCGTCACATTTATAAGTCGTATTAACTTTCTATTTAAATAAGTTCAGTTTACAAAGGAGCTCAAATTTCAATTTAATAACAACATATCTGATAACTTTATTGACAATCAGTAGGCAAAGTGCGTGTTATGAAAATCCTAAAAATTTACTTGTATTAATAATTCCTATAATTCCGAGAACTTTTCATCATTAGCAGTTGTACGTATCTTTACGTATACTTAGTGTAGGATAATGTTAACATTCAATATAGACAAATGACATAAAAAGTGCTTTAAGAGCGAAACCAAAGATACTTACGAAACGTGAAGAGTTGTCATTACGCACGGTTTTGGCGTTACCAAAAGATTCTAAAACAGGGTTGGTTTGGACGACCTGATCTTCTAAGTTGCCCTGAAAATAGAAGGATGACTAGTAAGCAGTGGCAATTTGTATAACAAAAAAAAAAAAAAAAGATCACCGTTGCTGTTGGTTAAGCTTGATAAGTGGATACGAATAAGTATGGCGACACTATCCAAGTATTAATATTTAACTACCTCAACGTTATTTGGCAGCTAAGGATGTACTAATTAGATTTTATTAAGTGAAACTGGACCTAGAGCCTATCTTTAAATCTACTTCAAAAGATATTAAATGTTTAACATTTGAAAACAAACCATGCCGTGGTGCTTAGAGAAAAAGCTGCTAAATGACATGCTACCACGTGGTAATGGTACTGACTTCATAGCGTTAGCTTAGAAGCCTTAGACTATTAAAGTAAGTGTTTATTACGCCAAGTTCACTTGAATGTGCCTAGATAAGCTCGGTTAACATTTAATGTTTAGAATATCAGTTCCATACAGAAAAACTTAACGTCATGTTTTTGATCATTTCGGAACAGAATCTAGTTCTACATTTTCATAAAAACGAAAATCACACTTTGCTACTTTAGTCTGATTAAATGCCATCCATGTTCAAAAGTCAATTTTCTAATTTACTAGTTAAAATTTACATTATTCAAGAAAACTGCAAACTACAATATTTTCACTATCTATAAGGATCAGTCGTTTAGATTTAATATATATATATATATTCACATGCAACTTTAGCTTGAAACTCATGCTTAAAAAAGTCCAACAAATTAATAATGCTCCACAGTCACCTAATTACTGATAACAGACGGTTCAAACTTTAATGGTGATTAGACAACAAATACTACGTACTTAATATTGACATAGTGAATGAAAAGTAGGTTGTTAGTTACATGCAATTTGTTCAGAATATGAATAACTATGAAGGAAAATCAACCACAAATAATGGTAAAACAGGATATTTTATGAGGATGTATTAAACAATAAATTGATCATTGCTATTAAGTACTAATTAACTGAAAGCGAGAGTCATTATCTGAAGTATTGTAACTGTTTTTGTTACTCAGAAAATGACAAACGCTACCGTGTAAAACCTAAATTTGTTACTCGGGAATTTTCTTTTTTCGCTACAAGGTTATGATGGCAAAGGTACATGGGAGATTCCAAAATAGATGTGCAACATGAGCACAATATGGGCAGTCATGAGCCCGAAACCTGTGTGTTTCGGGCAAGATTGCAAGCTGTTACCTTCTTAGATGTTCTCTGCTGATCCTCCTTTTTGGTGCTGGCACCGACGTTTGCGAAATAAGCAATTACTTTCTTCGTATTCTCAGTCTTACCGGCACCGGACTCACCACTGTTTTTGAAAGGTAAATATTAACGTTAAGATGTTAACTTCACAGTGGCGAAAACATACGGCTTGGAAAAGGTCGAGGAAGGTGGAAGCAAAGTTCGGGATTTCTTATGAGTCAGGAAGTCAAGATGCGGTCAACTTTTAAACTGCGAAACATAAGTTTTAGACATTTGAAGAGGAGGAAATGGTGGAAGGTGAACCTGACCCTCCCGGGTCCAACAGAATAGGACCTAAAAATCCGATACAGCGGATGAGACATTGGAAGACAAGGTTTAAGGGATCTGTGGGCTGCGATGACTGATTTCATTAACAGAAAAGTTGGGATGGGATTCTTGGGCGTATTTTCATTTAAATTATCCAAATTAAGACAAATGAATAATTTGAGATTTCAGAAACAGGCATCAATAACCAACTGAGTTTGATACAAATGTCAAATGAGGTGCAGATAAGTACATTTAGGTTAACCATTTGTTTAAATACTATTATGCAAAAAAGATGTCTGGATAAAATTCTTAAACGTTTCTCTTAAACTTTTGTATTCCTAATCCACTTTGAATTATGTAAAAATGATTCATTATGTCTGCATCACGAGGTTGAAAAACTAACACGTTTTTGTGCTTATATTTATATTTGTAATTTAATCGAAGAAACAGTGATAAATCTAAATTAAGACTGAGCTTGATGTTAATTTTAAAATAAAGTAATCATACATAAATCAAATAATAAATTCACTTGTATTAAGGTGTGATTACGATGTCTCTATGAAAACAAAACCAATACACAATTAAAGTTGTCTAGGAGTGGTTACACATTTTGGAAGTTGTGGAAGAATGGTACGTACGGTGCAACAATAATAGCCTTAATAGGATATGTTAAGAACTTTGCGTTTTCGGAGAAATAATATGTTAAACCCTATCAGAGTTGTAGCCGGGGGGGGGGGGCAACATGGCCCGCTCCCCTGAAAAAAATCTAGGCATATTGATTACATATTATTTTTCAGCTTTTATATATAATAAATTCGTTTTGTGTCATTTAATAAAAAGTAATAAAACTTCTACAAACACTTACATTTGATTTGGTTTGTTTTAATGACCATATAACTAAAAATGTAGATCAATTTCAGCTTTTTAGTTTACTGCCCCCTTTCTGTCCCCCTCTCCGAGTGGAAAACCTGGCTAGGCCACTGAACCCCATCATTCTCAGATTACATAAATACAGTATTAAGTGTGTTAAGTATCTAGTATACGTTGTTATGTGTGTGTGTTCGTACCAAGTTAATTAAAATATGTGAAAAAATGGAAGTAAATGTATATCAATAATAAATAAATCTTAGTCTTTTTTTCAGTTTTTCAACCATTATGATCACAAATGCAAACGAATTAACATGTTTTTTAAGAACCAAATCATTTAGGAAATTAAAAAACAAGAGTACCAAATAAGATACTTACGTGATCAACATGGACTGATCTTCTCGATCTGAAAGGAAAAAAAAATAATAAAATAACTTGTTTTAATTCATTTACTTATTAGAATAATTAATAGTTAGAATGTTGATTTTGGTTGTTGTTTTAAGATAGATCACGTGACTGTAAATGACGGTTAAGACTAGTCTAATTTATAAGATAATATATTGTTAATAGATAACGAAAAATATTTCAGTTAAACAAAAATACGTTTGGACAAGCAAGTAAAAACCATGTCTCTAGTTTAGGTATAGAATGAACAATGTTCAGGAAGTATGACATTCTTCAGGTCTGTTACAAAAAGTTATGTTTCATCTTTTTATGTAAAATACTACCTTCAACATTAATCTAACATTTATCGTGATATTTTATTATGACCAGTTTTACAATATTTGTGTTCTGCTAAGTCGTGTTTGTATTAGTTCATATATGCGTGTCCTTTTCTTTCGTTTTTAAACTTTTTTACTTACGTTATTGTTGTTTTTAGCGCAAAGCTGCACATCACATTTGAGCTGTGTAGATCGCAGGGAATTGAATTTCAGAGTTTAGCGTTCTAAGTTCGTAAAAATTACCGCTGATCCATCAGAGAGACTTTTATAAACTGGTTTTGTGTAAAGGTAAATCGTTTGTTGTTGTTGCTGCTGCTATGATCATGAGTTAAATCTTATGTGGAATAAAGTCAAGAGGCTTTCTTTGAGAATACTCTACACAAACGTTACAAGATTTGCAACAGTCAAGAAAAACTATGTATATGTGTGTGTGTGTTTTATTCGTTACGAAAATCAACCCGTATGTAGACGTTTTCTAAGGAACAGCTTTTATTAGTGTTTAATGAGTTTGCCTCTAAGTACGACCGAATCTAGATGTTATGTCAGTTCAAGTGTCAAACAGCTAGTAAAATATAAGGCTCAAATATAACACTGATAACAATCCTCACTTCATTTCAACGAGCAATAAACAATCCACATATTATTTGAATACTAAGTTCTATAGTTGATAAGTCCAGTATACTAAATAATTATTGTACATTTTATACAATATGTAAAATTCTTACTCTTGTGGGTGTCTTTTTTTTTCTCTCCTAGCTACTGTAACTTAGATCAGCCAGATGGGAGAGTAATTCAGCGAGCCACGTGTTTTTTGTTTTGTGTGTGTAATCGTATTAAATACATAATTTACTAATCTGGTGTAAAAAAAGATCAACTATGTAAATACTTTAACTTACCAAACTGAAACTGATAATGGTTAATGGTTTGAATGATTCATCAGAGAATAGTTTATTTTGTGTACATCTGTGAGCAGTATTATGTTGAAACCAGCGCTAATTAGTGTCTTAAAATTGTACAACTATATTTCACACACTTATGAATCAGTAGATAACAAACGTGTGTTTATAGACACAGCACATAGTAAGTTCAATAACTTCTAACTTAGCACACGCGTATTTAATGACAGCATATAGCATCAACTTTAACTAAATACACATATGTATATAAACAACACGTAGTACGTTCAGTAACACTTTCTACGGCATTTACTTTTATTTATAATATCAGTATTTAACTACTTATTATTGTAATTCATTTAATTTGTTTGTAGCTACATAAACATTGTTTTGTTTTTTTTGTACTATCCTGCTTCTCGACTCTATAGCTAAACAATAACATTCGCGTAGACATTTATCGTTTATTTTAAACTAATCCAAAGTTACATTGTCGGATCCGTTTAATTGATGGGCTTTCATTGGTCACTAGAAGTTATGTGAGAGGGAGTATTACGTAAATTTCTATGCTGATATCACGTTTTTCTTAAGACAGCTCCGTGGTGGCTCAGTGGTAAGTAAGAGGGCTTATAATTCTAAATATCGAGTTTCGATACCCCGGGAGGCAAAGCACAGATAGCACGTTGTGTGTCTTCGTGCTTCACTAGAAAAAAAGTGTTACGACGAGGAATTAGGAACAGTATAAGAAAGAAATACCAGAACTTACGTGTCTTATACTTAAGTTATATTCCACTCTTTCTTAAAAATTAGGTTAACAGTATTGGTTAAAATGTTTATATATATATATATATTTATATAATTTGTTGTTGTTTATTTATAATATCGTATTGTTTTATATAGTAAGCTACTTAGTATTTGGATTGAGGATAATCCCATAAGCTGTCTAAGCCTCGTGATATACTAATTAGATTAAGGCCGAACATTAAACAACACTTTCTAGTCATTTCCAGTTTTTGTTGTATACTCCTAGCTAGACCTATATAGTATATTAGTTACAATATTTACTAGGTTAATTCTCATCAATTATCCAAATTACGTAGACATATTCAAAATGTTTCTGCTTTCATTCTCTCGTGATGTGGAATTTAAATAATATAGTGCTATATGTATGCAGGCAAAATATTTTCCATGGCATACTTCTGAAACACGCGTGTTATTTCTACTTAAAATACAAATCTCATTTCTTTAACTGCGTGAAATATAGCGAAGTTATCCGGGGAAAGCAAAAAGTTTAACTCAAATGTACACTTAAGAGCAAATAAAATTTTCCTAAAAAGACACGCGTGGGTCTTCCAGCCACTGTCCTTCTCCACTTTCTTGAGTCACAGGCGGCTACTGTTTGCCAGTTTCTGTTAGTTGTCTGTTCTATATCTTTATACACCACTTCTCACTGAGTTCAAAGGGACAAAACTAGTTAATATTTTGTATGAGAAAACATATGTATAAACATATTGTCTCTGTTTGTACTTTTAGAGATATGTATGAAACGAGAAAGTACTTCTTTTTCTTTAGACTTACTCTGGCCTGTTCTGTGTGGTTATCAATCCGTACAAGCGTTTCCCTATTTACACCAACCGCGTGGTCCAGATCTACAAGGGTAAGAGGAAGACTGAAGTACCGCCTCACCTGTTCTCAGTGTCTGACGGCGCTTACAACGCCATGTTGCAGAGTAAGTTCAAATAAGGCTAAAAGCCAGATTTCATAGAAGTGATATTTTATAACTTTACACAAATAGTCTAACATAGAATAAACACTTGCAAAACGTGTACTGGAAAGGATCAGGACTATAAAGGACTGTTTTATGGAATTGTTCTGTTCTAAACGGAAAAGATGAGCAACAGTCTGTACGAAGAATAGTTAGTTAGTTACCAGTAATCTGGGAGCCATGTTTTACAGAAAACACTTTTGAAAAATGTTGTGAAGCTTGTTATTACCAAGATAATAGTAGTGTTAAATATTAAAACCGATAATTACCTAAGTATTTCATGGGTATTTTCAATCTACAGTATTATTCAAATGACAATAATTTAACGATTTTCAACTGTGTAACCATTTAAACTTTTAAGGTATGAAACCAATGTCTGCAGTTCCTTCTCATTCTTGTAAGCCTTACTAAAGCCAATGCACCCAATAACTATACTGTCAAAAGGCAGCAGGGCATACGTTTTTTATCCTGAACACAGTATAGCACAACCAAATAAGAGGTATTTATGTAGAGATTTACAATTATTTATTTTGTTAGTATTCTTCCTACCTCTTACACCGTTATCCACACGTCTTTACCGAACATCGGTAAGGACAGGTAACCAGTGACTCGAGTGACTTCGATTCAGAGCGAAATCTGCTTATGTCGGTGATTAATAAACAGAACAATAAGGTGGATCGTTTTGCAAGTGATAAATGATCAATCTTACTACACAGTTGATACTCAAAAAAAAAAAATTCAAACACTTGTCGTATATGTGGTATTGTTAAACATGAGAAAAGAAATGAAGCGGGAAAAAATATAGCCTGTAAGAATGTTTCCGAAATATTCGATAAACATAGAAAAGTTACAGTCATGGATAGATGCATGTGTAGAACATCACATATAAATCGCCTAGACCTTTACTACGTCTGTACTATTCCAACCGGCCTTATGAGTTCTAGTACTAGACGAAAGGCTTCATCGGCACTGGATATGGCAGATATAATGTGGTTGACATATTTACACATTCTTCTTTGTTTTTACTCATAGCTTCTTAGAATGTTTTGGAGTGTAATGAACAATGTCAGTCTTCAAAACACAAGTTGAACGAATGTTTAACTAGTCTATTATACGTTATCGCGAACATTGCTGAAAATGAGTTGAACAGTGGCAGTACCATTAGAAATACAGGTTAGAGTATATTAGCAAATAAATTTATTTGAAGAGAACGCATGAATGTGTTGAAACTATTTTCTCTGATATCAGGCTTCTGACAGTTTGTTCCGTTTACTGTGATGTTTTTTCACTAATTGCTACACGATATTGTGTTTTTTTATTATTACATTGTTTGTTTATTTTTTAACTCCCGTATAAGATTACTCTGATGAGTTGCCATTGTTAACAAACAACTTGTTTGTTTATTTTTTAACTCCCGTATAAGATTACTCTGATGAGTTGCCATTGTTAACAAACAACTTGTTTGTTTATTTTTTAACTCCCGTATAAGACTCCTCTGATGAGTTGCCATTGTTAACAAACAACTTGTTTGTTTATTTTTTAACTCCCGTATAGGATTCCTCTGATGAGTTGCCATTGTTAACAAACAACTTGTTGTTTTATTTTGTAACCCCCGTATAAGACTCCTCTGATGAGTTGCCACTGTTAACAAACAACTTGTTTGTTTATTTTTTAACCCCCGTATAAGACTCCTCTGATGAGTTGCCACTGTTAACAAACAACTTGTTTATTTATTTTTTAACTCCCGTATAAGACTCCTCTTATGAGTTACCACTGTTAACAAACAACTTGTTTATTTATTTTTTAACTCCCGTATAAGACTCCTCTGATGAGTTGCAACTGTTAACAAACAAACTTTTTTTTTGTTTTGTTTTTAATTTTGCACAAAGCTATACAAGGGCTATCTGTGCTCTGCCCACCACGGGTATCGAAACCCGGTTTCTAGCGTTGTAAGTCCGCAAGACATACCGCTGTGCCACTGGGGGGCAACAAACAAACTACATTTTATCTTTAAAATTAACATAATACAATTAATTCACACGATGCACCAAAGCCACACTTTGATTCGGAAAATTACAATTTCTTTTCAAATTATTTTACTTTCTATATGGTTAATAAAAGCTTTCAACCACAGAAATATGCGAGGTGCTTACGTTTCATATATACATATGTATATTTAACTTGGAATCCAATCTTTTATTAAATTCTACTGAAACATATAAACAATAGTGAAAACATTCAACTAAAAAGATAAAAAAAAATATCCTTCCAATAAATGAATCCCCCTGTGACGCACGTATAAGAAATGGTTGAAAATACTTGGTACTTACGTATATAAGTTTAGCAAAGTAACGCTCTTTCAGGTTATGCAAAACACTGGCGTCGTTCAGGTAGGTCATGTTGGACATGTCTTCGGTTTTCTCGAACTTCGGTGGGTTAACTTGTTGAAGTTGATCCTTCTTTATTACGCGCTGCGGAAGGAAAACAACTTATCATGTAATACAACACAAGATGTCAAAGTATGGGAATAGTTACTCCAATAATTCATTAATGATTATATTTCATTTATGATTTAGTTTGAATAGCTTAAACATAGAATTTCTGGCTATTGGCGAGAAAATTTGCGAACGTTTTATCAGTATGCAAGACTTGTATAAAATAGTTCCTCTTAACCTCATTTGGTAGGACTAATCTTACCTGCGGAAAACATTATCAGATTTACATCCGTAGATAAAATACAAAACAAAAGCAGTTTCATACTAATATATGTTACGGGCTTATTATGATTATAAACTGAATTTTCTTTTATATTCAGGGCATCATGGATGTGAATGTGAGTGTGTTAGAAACATTTAATATTATGTACTCTTATTAACTAACATTATCCAATCATTGCATGAATATTGTGCTTTCGTGTTCTTCGCTGTAAAAACACTAGCTAGCATTGGGCATTTAGACAAGAATGTTAACATATTTTTACTTAGGAATTGAACCGTGTTGTTGATAATATTTGAATTATGTATTTAAACTAAATAAGTATTTCTGTCTAAGAATCTTTAACTTTGGTAATTAATGTATAAATTTATTAACGCAATGTGAACACATGTTAAATCAACCTTTAAGCAGGTCATATTTGCTAGTTATATATATATTCACCTGGTCAGGAAATAGTTTTTAGGTTTAAAGGTTAAAAGTACTATTATTGTTACTAACTGTTACTGTTTGATTTATAATTTCACGATATTATCTTTAATGATGACATTCAGTTACTTTCACATTTTCAGATTTAAAGTACCTTGAAGTTACAGCTACATTAAGTTATTTTAAACAGTTGTTCTTCTTACAGTAATGTCGGACATTATCTGTTCAACACAATATAATACATTAAGACTACCTGTGTCGAAAAATTATCTCATAAAAAAGTATTATGGAAAATTTTTAAATGTTTGAAAATTATTTTACAATTTAAAAACATCCTTTGTCTTATATCCTCAAACCTGGTGTCCACTCATAGAAACAATTTAAAAATGATTTACCTCACCACCTGGGCAGTCAACTGTAACCTGGTCGCCTTTCGTGCTTACGATGTTACCAATAATGAAGCCTTCCTTCTCATCAGGAACCCATACCATCTTCTTGCCATCGTAAGGCTTAGTCTGATCCTTGCGTTTTTGTTCGAGAGAGACGAATAAGTACTCGCTTGGATCAGGGTCTTCCTGAGGTTGAGCCATTGTTAAATGTTTTTAACCAAAGGCAAAGACGTAACCCTAATTGACTCAAAGTATCTTCAGAAGACCTACAAGTGCGGAACAGCCCTGGAGCTTGCCTAAAAATAAAATTTAACCATGAGATTTTCGTAAAGATACATTAAAGTAATTTTTCAGGTCTATCAATAATATAAAACGTCTAACGTTATTTTGCTTATTGTTATTTACAGGTATGATGTTATGCTAGAAAAAAGTAATCTTAACTTAAATTACTTTAGAACAGTGTCGATGGATTAGAGAGGTAGATAAAAACTATTTATTGTAGTGACTCGTAGCTGCTTTGCAGAAGCTCGTGTCAATGATTGCACTTCATAAACATAGCTTTGAAAATATATATTTCCGAGTATTTATGTTCGTAGATATGGCCTTTCAAACTGTAAGTACTCGATATGAAATGCTTAAAGATGACTGCAAATGTCCATATTTATACAATTTTATTAGAAAACCCGTGAAAAACAAACCTTATATTACATAGACTGTAAGCATAATATGAATAGCGAATCCAAGGGGTCCGACTCTTTTCCCCAATGATAAAAAACATAGTAAAAAAATAAAGAGAAAAGTAGGATCGTAAGTGGTAGAACTATCATTGATTCGTCTTCTTGATCATGTATAGTCGTATTCCTGTATGGAACACTGGCCAAGACCATCTATAATGTGTAAAAGATTGAAGGTAGTTATAAAGTGTTTTTTCTTCCAAACTATTATGATCGATTTAATACCCACCACAGGTCTTTCAAGGAGATATATTCATCGGTATGATTATTAAACTTTTCATCCGTCTCCCTCTATCCCATCAGTGAACAGCGCTTGATATAAGTTGATTCTAGGGGTCTCTTGAAGATCCTGATTCTAACAGTCTGCACCGTAAACGAGGGAAATTATATTCTATATTCTACTACAAAGTATTGATCATTTGGATTTCTAATAGTAATTTGCAGATAGGTGTGACTGGCAAAAATCTGAAAATTTAAGCTAATGAATTGTGAACATTTTACTCGCCCAAAGAGAAAAATAAGTTCAACTAAGAAATAGAAGTTCAACTTATTAAAAGTCACAGATATTTTACATTAACTAAAACTAAGGCATGTATAACAGTGCTCCATTCTCCAGTCGCTAATGTGTATAACAATGCTCCATTCTCTAGTTGCTAATGTGTATAATAGTGCTCCATTCTCTAGTTGCTAATGTGTGTATAATAGTGCTCCATTCTCTAGTTGCTGATGTGTATAACAATGCTCCATTCTCTAGTTGCTGATGTGTATAACAATGCTCCATTCTCTTGTTGCTAATGTGTATAATAGTGCTCCATTCTCTAGTTGCTAATGTGTGTATAATAGTGCTCCATTCTCTAGTTGCTAATGTGTGTATAATAGTGCTCCATTCTCTAATTGCTAATGTGTCTGCTTCCGGTAATATTTTATAAATTTCGTATTTGTATGCCTTTTTATTATTCTATTTCTTTCATAAACTGTGAATTTACCCATTTCACACAGTTATCTAACTGTAAAGTAAGACTATTTTATTGTTTCTTAGTGGCTGTGATTTTTGTTCTGAAGTTAGTTTTCATAAATCTATACTCTACAAAGTACTTTCTTTAAGTAGAGCTTCCAGTGACAAGGATCGAAATATCAAAAACTATTCTGTTTCATCAAACAAACAAAAATCGACATTAGTTTAAAAAAACATGTAATGCGGTCCATATTTCAGTGAACATTGTTTGCTGTGTTGAATTTCGCGCAGAGCTCTTCGAGAACAGTCTGTGCTTAGCCGTTCCTATTTTTAAAGTGATAGTCTAGCGGGAGGGCAACTAGTCAATATTATCCACTGCCAACTGTTATCAGACCGAAAAGTGGAATTTGACTATCACGCGTCCAATGAACAAAACAACGTTAAAACACATTCTGACGCCTCTGGAGAGGACATGGTGAAAAACATTTATGTCATGCGCACAAGACAGTTTCCTTGTTCTCACGAACTAGTTATGCGAAAGTTTTTTCCCCTTTCGCCCCCCTCCCGGATTCCATAAAATAAGTCGAGCAAAGCATAACTTTATTTTTTCTTTAATTGTTATATTTATATATATATATATAGATACATATATGCATAAGTACACACACACACACACATACATATATATATATACACACACATACATACCGTATTTGCCAGTGGATAAGACGATCCTATCTATAAGACGACCCTGGAGTTTTTTGAGCAAATTGAGTGTGTATTTCTCTGAGGTTCAGTGTGTAGGTTGACCTCTATTGTCAAGCAGGTCTAGGATGTTACCTTTCTAAAGAAATTCTTACAATTTATTTTTAAACTGTGCTAACCTGCGTTCTTTGG